AAGTTTTAAGGTATAGGGGGCCGCCTTTGTGTGCCGGATGCGGCAGGACTTCGCCAGCAGATCATGGGCGAGGTACATTATTCCTGTTACTCTCTTCATCCAGGTTCAACAAAGATGTATCATGATATAAAAGAAATTTACTGGTAGTCTGGAATGCAAAAGGAGGTAGCAGAATTTGTAGCACAATGTCCTAATTGCCAACAGGTGAAGGATGAACATCAAAAAACCGGTGGATTGACACAGGAAGTAGCAGTGCCTATGTGGAAATGAGAGGCAATTAATATGGATTTTGTAACAGGGTTACCTTGCACCAGGCATAATTTGATTCTATCTGGGTGATTGTTGATAAGTTGACAAAGTCGGCCCATTTTTTGAAAGTCAGGGCTACCTTCTCAGCCGAGGACTATGCAGAATTGTATATTAGGGAGATAGTTCGATTGCATGGTGTTCTAGTATCAATTATTTCTGACAAAGGCGCGCAGTTCACAACTAAATTTTGCTAATCCTTCCAGAAGGGTTTGGGGACACAGGTTAATCTTAGTACAACCTTCCATCCTCAAACAGACGGGCAGCAGAACGTATAACTCAGACGCTTGAGGATATGTTACGGGCGTGCGTGTTAGACTTCAGAGGCAACTAGGATGAACATTTGCCGCTTATTGAATTTGCTTACAACAACAGTTACCATTCGGCAATTCAGATGGCATCTTATGAAGCTTTATATGAGCGGAAGTGCAGGTCCCCGATCGGTTGGTTCGAGGTAGGAGAATCGGGATTAATTGGGCCAGATATTATCCATCAGTCAGAAGAGAAGGTAAAGCTTATTAGAGAACGCCTGCTGATAGCTCAAAGCCGCCAGAAATCCTACGTTGATGTGCGGAGAAGGAACCTGGAGTTTGATGTAGGTGACTGGGCATTCTTGAAGATTTCACCGATGAAAGGCGTGACGAGATTTGGTAAAAAAGGCAAGCTCAGCCCGAGGTTTATTGGACCATATCGAATTCTCCAGAGAATAGGTCAGGTGGCATACGAGTTAGATCTGCCTTCAGAATTAGAATCAGTTCACCCAGTCTTTCATGTGTCGATGCTACAAAAATTCATAGGAGATCCATCCCGAATTGTGCCGGTCGAGAATGTCCAAGTCACTGAGGAATTAACCTATGAAGAGGTTCCGGTAGCTATATTGGATTGACAGGTTCGCAGGCTGAGAACTAAAGATGTTGCTTCTGTTAAGGTGTTGTGGAGAAATAGAAATAGAGAAGAGATGACTTGGGAAGCTGAAGATGATATGAGATCCAGATATCCTCATTTGTTCCAGGCTTAGCTCGGACCGTGCAGTTAAGGTACCTTTATTGATTTAGTTGTTGTTTTATGATTTGTGTCATATATATCTGGTGTAGTTGACTCTAGCCTTGTTGTGAAATGGTTGCTATAGTACTGTGTGAAGTACTTGTGTTGAACCTTTCTGCATCTCAGAATTTTCAGATAGTCCATATTACAGGGGAGACTATGTCGAAATTTTTTAAAAATAAGTAGTTAAAAGAGTTAAGGTTCCTATAAGCTGAAGTTAACATTCGAGGACGAATGTTCCTAAGGGAGGGAGAATGTTACACCCCTTAAGTTTCTAATGATTAGTCAACCTATTCGTACGTTGGTTAAAAGTTCTAGAGTGCAACATGTACGAGAAAGGGCCTGGGGAAAGGTCGAACGAGCGCGGAATCGAGATCGCGCGGGAGAAGACCGGAGTAGGCCGCAACAGGGGTGGCGTGTCATGGACCTCCTCTCTCCGCGTTGGGATCCGTGGCACACCCGTAAATTTCTACAATGGGGTCTGTTCCACGGACCCCTGTCCACCGCCTCAAGTATATATAAGTTCCTCCCTTTGATCTTATGTTATTTTCAAAATATACATACAACCAGAGAGGGAAAACACGAGGGAAACAAATAAATTTCCTCCGGTTACGCTGTGAAACGCTGCCCAAATTTAAATTAACTTTGGGTATTGAAGTTTAAGGTTGCACGGAGCATACTACGGAGTTAGTTTCGCGAAATTCGCCCGGCAAATCATAGCCCCGCTGAGCCAAAGTTGTTAGAATTGCGTTAAACTAATTTCTATACGATCACAGGATTCAAGTAAGTATTTATTCCTTTTGGACTTCCGAGGAATTACGCGTTTTCGACCGAGTTTCGTCGAGTTGAAATACAGTTAACATTTATATATAAAGTTTTCATTTTTGCAGAATTTAGTATTAAAACCAGCCTTATTCTCTCAGTTATATGATTTTAGTTGAAAAGAGCTATTGAATACGAATTAAACTCGTCAGTTGATTAGAAATTGACAATCGAGGTATGTTAAGGCAAATCCCTTCGACAAGTTAGTTTCTTCAGTATCATAACTCAGTTGAATCCCAGTAAGAATACCGTAAGTATATTCATTATAACTAGCTATTTTTATTAGCCGAGACCAGCATTCCATATTTAGTTGTGGATCGACTATGCCCTGTATAGCCTTCCATAACCAACCCCAGGATTACTAGCTGTGTCGACGCCCACGAGGGCTAGATAACGTCGCTCCGAGGGACGATATGTCATCCGTGAGGGACGAAGATGAGGTCCGAGGTCCTCATAAAATTCATCCCATGGCTGGACTACTCTTATGTCATATCGGCACACCCCGTCGAGTTCGATACCCGGGGTACAGACAGTAGGAGTCCACCGGACTCAGACACAACTATAGTTCAAGGGCCGAGCGGGCTCAGTTGCAGACCCAAGGGAGGGATAGGACGGCTATAACTATTAGATGATGCAGGATGACCTTATTAGGGGTATATAGATTGAAGTGTATCTACCAGGGATTATGGGGACTCCGAGTGTGTTATTCTGTGCTGGTTGTACCTTCTGGTTTATGGGGACCAGGTAAGGTTCTTGTTTGCTTTAGTTACTAATAAATTAGATGATAGAAAGTTCAACTATTTAGGTATGATCTTTATTCCTCCATTTTAGTTATTCTCAATTTCATTTCTTTGTTTTAGTTATTTACAATTATTGCCTTACATATTTGGTACATATTGTACTGACGCCCTTTATAGAGCGCTGCATTACTTGCCTGTAGGTACGGATAGACGAGGAGCAGGTCCCTCTTAGCTTCCAGCCAGGATTGTCAGCACAATCGGCTCCTTTCCTCCGGAGCTTGTAGATAGAAGGTTTACTCCTTTTGATTGTACAGTTTATGGATAGGTCGGGGCCCTGTCCCGACCATCATATTACTCCTAGAGGCTTGCAGATTATTTCTGTTTCCCTGTGGTTAGCTGTTGATGGCCATGTGGGGCCCATATGTATTGGCCGTGTGGGTCCTTGTTTAGCTGTCAGTTAGCGGCCTTGTTGGTCATAACTTAGTTTAGCACCGAATTTACTTTTCAGTCATAACTAGATATCATAGTGGTCTTATCGGCCTTCATAGGATTCCCTGTTATTGCTTGTTTCTAGTTAGCTGGTTTTCCTTTACAGGTGGCTATAAGGCCTTGTCGGCTGGAGGTTGTATTTATAGCCGAGATATAGCCCGTTGTTTTTTTGATATGGGGAGTAGGCCTGCACCAGGAGTGCATAAGCCCAGTTAAGTCAATTCAAATCCCGGTAGGGCACCAGATGTCAGTCGTGCCTCTCAAGGTGGGACGTGACATATTTATTGTTAAATATAGTAAATTAAATGCATTTAAGGACTCAAAGATATATTTAATAGTGTTCTTTAATAACAACATTGCAATTTGATCATAATCGACGATTGATCAAGTAATCATATGCGCAATCAACTTTAACCGAGTAATTTGATCATGAATTACTTGGATCAATCATATTAACTGTTAAATATAGTGAGTTAAATGCATTTAAGGGTTCAAAGCCAGATTTAATGGTGAATAGAGTGAAAATAACTAAGAATCTGTTGCAACAACTCATCGACTTGTTGGACTTATTTCAGCAAGTATCATGACTTGTTGCAACTAGTTATCTACTTGTTCAGAATTTTCAAACAAGTTAACTAACTTGCTGCAACAACTTGTTTATTTAATGCAACAACTATTTTACCATATGACTTAACTGTTGGGATTTTTCAGCAAATAACACGACTTGTTTGAATAAGTTATTTACTTGTTCAGATATTTCAGCAAGTAAACTAAGTCGTTTGAAATAAGTAAGCTAGTTATTACAGTAAGTTAATCACTTGTTCCAACATGTGAGTTACTTGTTGAAGACTCCCAACTATTGACTCATTACAGCAATTGCTTTATTAACTGCATTTTATGTCGGGATTTTCCAAACAAGTAAAGTGAGTGGTTGCAACAAGTGATCTAACTATTGCAACAACTAGCTTAGTCATTGCAACAACTGTTGTACTTGCTGCAACAACTATCTTAGACATTGCAACAATATCTTAGTGAGATGTTTCAACAAGTAACATAACTTGTTGCAGAATATTAAAATATAAAGAATACAAAATATACTAAACATTAAAACACATACATTCACATAAATTCAAATATATGATGTTCAGCCCAGCTTATGGCAGGTTGTTCAACAACAACACTTAAACAAAAATAATAACTTAAAAATATCCAACAAATTATTCAATAAAGTTTTCGAATAAAGACAATCAGGTGCTCAACCACCTTACGACGCTAATTCCTTATCAACCACCCCCACAGCCCATCTCCACCGCATCTGCTCAACAATATTGTCATTCAGGAGATTCATCGAACTGTTTTTCAGAAGCTCAATGAAAGCAAGTGAATAAGAACCGTATGCTGCCCCAGTGTTATTCTTAGAGAGATCCTTCTTTCAGTCATAGATCCACTCTTTGTTGAGAAACTTAGGAGGCAAGTGACCGAACATACCACTCTGTTATCTAGACCATAGTTCCATCACTGGCAGAGGCAGATTCAGTATTTAAAGTTTATGGGTTCCCACCCGTCTCAAATTAAAAAGAGAGAAAATAAAAGCCTTCATGGTGATTAGGGGATTTGAACCCTTGACCAAGAGGACAACAAAACTTAAAAATCTTATTTTCTACCATTGAACTAGCTACACCCCTTTTAAATGGGTTCTCAAGTCATATTTTTTTTATATATTTATTGAAATTTTCAATACAAATACATGATTTGCGCAAAAGTTAGTGAATTTTCGGGAATCCCCCGATAATACACTACATCCGCCCCTGATCACTGGCTGAATGTGTAGGAAGAACACATCTTCTAGGTAGCACGAAATGTTGCAATCATAAATATTTATCACTCTCTCATTGATCCAGAATTCAAGAGCGACAAATATTTCTTCTTAAGGGTCATCACAGTGTCACCTCTACTCAATAATTAAAACTGGTGTCATTTTTTTAAAAAATTTGAAACCCTTTTGTCACCCTCAATTCCATCACCCTCTAAAGTATTCTTTTTAAACCTTAATTATTACCTCCAATAATAAAAAACTCTTTAACACCTGTGGTTTTCTTCATTGTTCTCCGCATAATCTTCTCAGATAACCCATGGGTATGAAATTGAGTCCGCAAAAGTAAGTTTAAATCATATCGGTAGAAGAGCAAAAGTATGAAATATAAATAATATATAGGAGATTTACATTTGGATAAAATTTCATAAGATCGGCAACCTAGTAATGCTAGAAGTTATAGTCTACATTGATCAAAAAATGATTACTCAAATATTGTTCGTCAAAAAATTATATTTTTAATATAAATTAAAAATAACTTATAACACCACTTATTACCTCCAAGATCGAACTAAGTTGGTATAACTAATATAGCTAAGCTAGGGTTTTAATTATTATTATACCTCTGCTCATCAGAGAATTAGTACATGTTTAATCTTTTCTTTTTAATGTCCATACTCTATCAAATCAAGCTAAGGGTAATTTTTATTATCCCATAGACTTGAAAGTAAGAATAAAATGTGACGTGAGAGAATAGTCAAGTTGTATTGGCTAATTATTAATCCCAGTTATGTGCTTACAACCACCAAATAATCTCTAATATGAGAAAGTTCTTGGACGTGTTTATAACAATGGTATTTGAGTCATCTTGCGCACATTACGTAATAGTATTGGACTTTCAACAATTTGCAATAGAAACTTTACAAATTACATACAACTTCCAATAAATTTCACAAAGTTAAAAATTTTATGCTCTCTTTCATACAAATTCTAATCTCGTCATCGGAGTATTCTCTCCGATAGCTTTTTTTATGTTTTTGGTTTTGATCCCACCCCAATTATGTCGGTTGCTTTTTTCTTCATCGGAGTTTTTATCTGTTGAAGTTCTTTCCTATGGCTTCCACAACTTCTTCACTTCATGTATAGAGCCTATCATTGCATGTCATGTGTATATTAATGTGTGCACTTGACATACATATGACATACAATGGTATACTTTTAAAAATACATAAAATATACATGTGGCATTCACACAATATTCAGTAATATACATACTTGTATGTACTCGTGTGTAAGTCACTGTATGTATAATTTGATGCATAAAATACAATATTATACAGTCGACATATATTAGGCATACATCCATTCCACCTTTAAAGTACCATCATAAATCTCCATAACCATCATCCACTCCATCATAACAATATAAAAAAAGTCGCTTCCATACAAAAGAAAAAAGAAAGAGAAGAAAAAAGAGTTCCACCAGTGCTAGATTGTCCAAATAGAGCTATTTCGTAACAAGATTGTTCAATTGAACTTTTTATGAAGTTTGAAGGAGATTTATTTTCAGGAGCTTTAGAAGGTAGAAAATCCATAATAATTTACTTTGACACAGTGGAAGGAGAAAGAGGAAGAGAAGGAAGATGTTGTTGTTGATATGACTGTGGTTGGAGTTACAATGTCAACCAAAATTGGGGATGAGGCATGGTTTGGTGTCTTGGAGTATTTGAGAGACAAGGATTAGGGTATTATGATATGTTGTGGTGTTGTCGCTGGTGGGAGTCGAAGTCGGATTCGTGAGGGTCGCATTGATAGAAGTGGGTAACAAATATTTGAACTCAAAAATCAGGATTAGAAGTAGTTTAATGAGGCGCAAGGGACACGATTACAACACATCACTGGTGGTTATAAATACCGAACCACAGGAAAGAGCAAGGCAACTTGAAAATCTGGTAACTCACTCTTTCCCCCAATTCTCTCCTTCTCCATCTTTTTCTTCTTCTTTTCTTTTCCAAATCTGATTCTCTTCACATCTCATTCTGTGCGATCTACAACTGCTTATAAAGCAATTATTATCGTATTTTGCTTATTATTTTTTAGTCGAACCTTTGTTTGAGTTTGATATCCATTTCCATATATAAAATCTCAAAAATTGTCCCAAAGTGATTTCAATTTTATTTTTTCTGCAATTTCTATTCCTGATCCTAATTTGGATCATAACAATTGGTATTAGATCCTCGATTTTGCGACTTATGTGGTAGCAATGGCTGAGGGTACATGCTGGAAACTAACTAATGAAAAGCTTACTAGGCATGAAGAATTATTGTCTGATTTGTTGACTAATCAGCAAGAGGTACGCGATACTCAAACTATGATCCAAGGTCTTTAGAGCTGCTTCTCTATCAATTGGTGGCCTTTGAGAGAGCACCGACTAGTTAAGTACGTGAATGAGTTGAGAGTTACTTCCTATACTAGCTTAAGATAACAGGCCCAATAGACTGCAAATGGTACCCATACCTCCTCCAAAGTGGGAATTACCCAGTTTTGAGGGCCATGAACCCAAGGTATGGATTCAAAAGTGTGAGAGGTACTTTTCACTATATAGAACTTAGGATGACTAGAAAGTAGAGGCCGGTGCTCTCTACTTGAATGGTATAACCGAGGTCTGATATCACTCCTTATTGTGCATAAGGGAGTGAGTTATGGCTTGGATCGAGTTCAAGGAGGAACTGATTAGTCGATTTGGTGAAATCCTAGCCGAGAATATTGTGGAGGAGTTCAACAAACTCTCTCAAACTGGATCCGTGGAAGAGTTCTTAGGAAGATTTGAAGATCTCAAAGCTCAAATATTAATCAGGAATCCTGTATTAAATTAATCCCACTTCCTATCTAGTTTTATTGGTGCCTTAAAGAAAGAGATAAAGTTTGCTGTGAAAATGTTCAATCCAACCACATTGAAGTGTGTTATTGAGAAGGCTAGGATGCAAGAGAAAGCAATTGAAGCAGCTCAAAGGAAGGTTAAGCCTATGGTTAAACTTATCAGTACTTTAAGTATAGTGGGAACAACAAGAGTGTTATTACTCCTGTTGTAAGGCCTATTATCTTTAGGATGAGTCCTGAAGTGTATGAATACAGGAAATCCAATCACCTATGTTTTAGGTGTGGTGAGAAGTATGGCCCTGGCCACAATTGTAAAAAGAGACAATTGAACTATTCAGAAGGTGAAATTGCAATTAAGATGGAGGCTAATTATCCTGAGATAATAGAAGAACCATTTGAATTTTTAATTAGAGTAGTGGAACAGGAGATTCAAGAAGCCATTTGTCTGAACGCACTTTTAAAAAATAATCAAGACGAGAACACCATATTGGTGAGTGGTACTATGAAGAAAAGGCACCTTATAATATTGATAGACTCAGATAACACTCATAGTTTTATAGATGAGCATACAATTTAAGGAAATAGGACAATAAGCTAGTTACTGTCCACAACGAGGGTTACAGTAGCAGATGGTAATTATTTTATGTGCACCTCTCATTGCAAGAGTTTCATCTGGAAAAAAAGGGTAGATCATTTTAGGAAGACTTATTGGTCATTCCACTGGGAGGTTGTGATGTGGTCCTTGGTAATAATTGGATGAAAAGGTATAATTCAACTATGTTTGACCATGAGAAGAGGTGTATCACTATTGGCCATAAGGGTTGGTGTTGCCTGTCATTATAGAGGAAGGCAGGTTGACTATGATGTCTAGTGGATCTGTGAGAAAAATATTGAAGAAGGGACATCCTCTTATAGCTCATCTCTTCATGATACACACAGGAGACCTTAAGAAACCAAAACAACTTGATGGCCAGATACAAGAAGTGTTAGATCAAAATGCACCATTATTTGCAGAACCTAAGTCCCCACCTCCTATTAGATCATTGGATGATGCCATACCTATCAAATTAGGGTTAATACCAGTTATTTGATACCTTATAAGTACAACTACTATCAGAAGGATGAGCTGGAGAAGCAAGTGAAGGAAATTCTTGATAGTGGTATCATACAACAGAGTCAGTCTCCTTTTTCCTCACCTGTCTTATTGGTGAAAAAGAAGGATGTTACATGGAGGTTCTGTGTGGATAACAGAGATTTAAATGACATCACTATCAAGGAAAAGTATCGAATTCCTATTGTAGATGACTTGTTAGATGAGCTCTATAGATCTTTCATCTTTTTAAAGCGGACTGCGGGGCTAGATATCACCAGATCATAATAAAGATAGAGGATGTGCACAAAACTGCATTTAGGACTCACGTAGGGCACTATGGGTTCAGGGTGATAACTTTTGGACTCACTAATGCACCAATCACCTTCCTAGCACTTATAAATCAGATTTTTCAACCATTTCTCAGGAAGTTTGTTTTGGTGTTTTTTATGACATTCTTATTTATAGCATCTCCTTGAATGAGCATGTGAATTATCTTAGGGATGTGTTTGAAACCTTGAATGAACACTCTTTATCTGCTAAAAGGTCCAAATGCTCCTTTGGTCAGCCACAAGTTGAGTATTTGGGTCATATTATCAGTAGTGATAGAGTATCTACTAATCAACAAAATATTCAAGCTATGGTAGATTGAATTCAACTCAAATCTCTCAAGGCTTTTAGGGGATTCCTGGGCTTGACTAGATACTACAAAAAAATATGTGAATAATTATGGAGCTATCTGTAGACCTCTAACTGATTTACTCAAGAAGGATGCATTCAGGTGGAATCCAGAGGTAGACTTAGCCTTTGCTGCTCTCAAATCTGCTATCTACTACCCTTGTCTTAGCTCATCCTATCTACACACAAGAGTTTGTAATATATACTGATGCCATCCATAG